GCATATTATATTCCATTTCTGCAAACAGAGCCTCCAAAATGTTACACACTGTACCTTTAAACTACAATAATTAATATTCTTATATGAATCCTCTTTTGCTATAGAGCAATTTAGCATTTTTTGGCCAATTGTTCTGACTTTATAGTGCACAAGGTTACTGTTTGGGTTCAGTCTCACCGCCCTCATATGGTTTTCAGCAGCAGAAGGCAGCTATTTCTGGCAAAGAAGCTAAAAAAAAAACAAAGGTGAATGCTCTCTGCCCAGCACCAAATAACACGAGTCAGGAGTAAGCGACTAGCTTGTGAACATAGTGAAGCATTTAGGCTCTTCATTCATCATGTGGCCAGAAACACGACTCCGAATGAATGCTAATGCTGCTCTGTGTAAATTAATAATGTTGAGTGCATTCATAAAATGATAGAAAAAAAAAACATTTTCTAAAGTAAAACTTACTTACTGTAAGTTCCTCACATGGGATCTTTTATCTATAGTTTGTGTGATATTTGTCCCTTTAAGAAAAAGGTAGTGACACAGTTGCTAAAACAATGGACTTTCTAAGTCTCCTACTGACAATTTTGAATAAAAACACACAAGCACCCATTTTCATATTCATTATTGTAAAATCAACATAAAGAAATGAGTGATTTTTCAGCTGGATACCAAAATACACCCTGTAATGATATTTAGCACCATTATAAAAAGGACTTCAAGGCTATAGAAGATTAGTCATCCAGACCAGAGTAGCCAGCCAGTGAAGGAATGCAGTTAAAATGGAAATGATCATATAAAAGCTTAACATAAATTGCATGGCATTATTTCAGGGGCTAGTGGCAATAAAAACTTGGTTAGTTTAAATCCTCCATAATTCCCAAGTTTAACAAAGGCAGCTGAGGACAATGTCTATGGTGAATTGCCGCAGTCACGCCCACACATTTAGATCTTCCTAAACTTCTCAAAAACAAGTTGTAACAAAAACCTTCAGCCCCGTCTCACTGTTTTGAATTGAGACTGGTTTGGTATGACCTTGTTATTCTAAAAGTGAGGTCCATTACTTTCTGGAAAATTTTGAATGTATTAATCTTACTGCTGCCAAAATTGTGCACATATTTTAACCACTGGGTTTTGTAATGAAACCGCAGCAGGGCTTCTAGCCCAGTCAGAGAATCTCAGTTTATCAAGGTGGAGACCTTTAAAGAGACTGAGAAGCTCTGTAATAGACGTAATGTGTTTTGGGACCCTTGTCAAGCCAAACAACAAATACTCTGACCCTCTAGGGCATTAAGAGGGCAAAGGTCAAGCACAAGGCCTTCGAAGCAGACCATAAACAAAGATGAGAGCCATCAATAACATCTGGTGCCCCTGCAATGTATGTGTGTTTGTGTACACACATATATGTAGGTGTGTTGAGCGACATGACTCCGCAGTCGCAGTCTGTATTTAGAGATGTTTACATGGGGAACATCTGGATAAAGCCTGAGGTCGCTGAGGGTGTTCACATTACCAACACTCCATAAAAGGTCTTTCCCATGGCTGACGGTTCAGTCTGGTTGGGTATGACCTTGGGACATTGCAGAAAAACAGACGCTGTAGAGAATGAGCTCTTTTTTTTTGCTGGAAACATGACCCATGTTTTCAAAACAATTTAATCACACCCAAAACTTATTGCTGCATGTTACTGTTTTATCAAATTAACCAGTTCCTCAAGGAAGTTCTCACGTTTACCCTCCAAACACTGCGATTTTATTTTTACTGGAACAAGTTGCCTTCGATTTTTAATTTAGTGTACAGCAAAAAAAAAATTAATTGCAACTATTTTTTCACTTTCTCTTTTAATTCCATTGCAAGAAATGTCTAAAAACATCAAGACATGCATTGCAACATAAAATAAATAAATAAAAGCTGCTGTAAAATCAGGCATTTTAAGCCACAACAATCCCAAAAAAAAGAGCTGCCAGGACTGTTAAGTAAAGCCAACAATGAAGTGTCTTAAAACTGCATTCTTTCTAATGGCCAGCAGGGGGCAGCTCCATTGATTGCAAAATAAATAAGTCCGATCGAACTGAGCCTTATGGAGAAGTGAGCCACTTCTCACTTAATTTACTAGGTCAGTAAACATTTTCCTAATGAGTTTATGGTCTCACTCATTAGTTTCAAGTACTGAACCTTTTAACTAGTATGATCGGGGCTGGGTATCGAACCTAAATACATTGTTTGGTACCGACCATATTAGAACATTTTCTAATGCAGATTTCTTGTACGGCTGCTTATGTTTAAACTTGAATTCACATGAGACACCAGGTGAATACTGTAGATTATGTTCACTTGAATCTTTATTGTTTACATCATTCAACATAGATAATAGGTAATCATGTGGTTGCTGTGTTTAAAATGAGAGAAATAAATCTGAGGATTAGCTGAGCCTACTGGTAAAACATTGCTTGATCTTGAGAGGAACAACACAGCTGCACACACAGAGAGTTTTCCATTGGCAGGACACAGAAGCACATATATTCTGGAGTAGATATCATCCCTCTCTGGCTTCTCTTCCTCCGTCTTCTTCTCCACCCCGAAGCCAGCAAGAGGCCACTCCAGCAAAGAAACTCTCATCCAGAAACTATTCAACACTGTCAATACTAGATGTGAATTTGTACACTGGCATAAACAGGTACACTGAGTTAACCAACTATTGTTTCTGTGCAGTGAGAAATATACCTACCTATTATCCTAAATATCACTGAAATACATATAGTAGGATGGTAGGGTCACAGTACTCCAGTAAACCCACTTTCTTTACTATTCATACACCATTGAGAAACTTGCATGTAAAGAACAGGACAATATGTATTTTAAAAAGAAAATTTCTGTGACTAGTATTTTATACATGTATGTATTTGATCTACTAACCACAAATTACCCCAAAGTAAATATTTGGCACAATCTTGACAGAGAAATACAACTGCAATGAAGAAAAATATCAACCAACAACCAATTACAAAGGATTTTAAAATAATGCAGAGAGAGAACATCAAATCTAACCATGCACAAAGTAAGGCAACCTACTGCAGAATTATTTTAGATATAGAAAAAGATACAGTGTATGCACCAAGAGGAGTGCAGCTATTTCTACAACACCTGTAAGGACTGCTGTCAGCACTGTTTGCTGAGTTTGCACTTAGAAATTTAGGCTGCTGGGTCGCTGGCCCAACCGACAGACAGACAGACAGTCTGGTGCAGACTAAAGTTATCACTCTTGTACAGCAGAGGTTACTGGTAGTGTCGCCCATTATCAATAACTTAAGTAATGCAAAGTATGCTCTTATGCTACAATAAAGCCTTATCGTGGACTTTGACAGGAAAATATATGTATCAAATTCAAGATTTGTTCTTTTTAAACTACAGAGTATGTTGTGGATTTTTCTTCTCTACTTTACATTCAATTTTGTTTTGCTGTTTTTTTCTTAAGAAATACTTTAAGGTTTATACTGACTTTCTGTGTATGTGTGCACATGCACATGTGTACATGTGCAGTCGTATGTGTACAGCTTGTGATGTGCTGGGATGGTTGTGTTTTACAAATCCTTCGTCTTGATGAGGGTAACCAAAGGCTTGTCATCAGGACTGTAGTCTTCGTAGGCGATAGGAGTGGCATCGTACATGGCAGGCCTGGACTTCTTGCCAAATCTGATAGCAGATAAAAGCATAAACACAGACAGAACATCAATATTTCATCATCATACAATTGTGCAATGTAGCCCATCCTTTGTGGGTACTGGGTTAGTGATATAATGACAAATAAATAGTAAACTGTAACTTTTATTAAAGGGGCACCTAGCCTTTAGCTTATAACTGCTCGATCCTACACCTTCCCATAATGCACTTTTGTTAAACCCTGCATTCAACTCAACATCCACAGTTTCTAAAATAGATTGTTTGTTAGAAAATGCTAAGTTTCCCAGCACAAGAAAAATACATGTTCTCAGACGTAATAAAAAGGGAACAAAACTGTTTTCAGAGGCGGAGTAGTTTAATGGCTCGTAAGCTGACTTGAGGCTGACCATTATTCTTGACATTGAAAACAACAAGTGACTAACTCGCTTGTTCTGGAGCTTTCGACTGTATCACATGGTCCACAAGTTCCAGAAAAAGTGAGTGAGTTTGAATTGTTTTGTCAGCTGGTAAACTTTCATCTGTAAAATTGTTGTTCCAAAAATGCAAATTCCCAAGCAGCTGTACACTGAATGTAAAACAATCCTTAAATCACTTACAGCAAAAGTACCAACACATAAAGCTGTTTAGTAACAGAAAATACAAAATCAACGAGACTGCATAATTAATCTACCACAGCAAATCTGTAACGCTCTTTCTGTTCAAGACTTTGTTGTCAATACAAACAAATCCCGTCACTGACCTGGCATGGCGGATGGAGGCGATGGCGTTGCTGAACTCGCTGTCGATGCTGCGGCAGTTGTAGAACTCCTGGTAGGCATGGCGGGACGAGCCCTGGTACTCGATGCGGCTGATGCGGCAGATGCCCACAATAAGGATGATGAGCATGAGGACGAAGGCCACACACAGCGCTCCAATGATGATGTACAGGGAGTGGCGGGGCATGTTGGTCAGGGTGTCATCAGTGTGTGCTGGCTTCCACTGCAGGTCTGAGACACAAACACACACACACATAGAGGCATGTAGCTTTCCACATGTCAGATTAATAGCTGAACAGAAGTTTTAAGACAGGCTGACTTACGGATCTCACAGCTGGGCCCAACCCACCCAGGTGGACAGTGACAGGTGAAGCCGTTTGATTGGTCGATGCAGGTGCCTCCATGGTGACAAGGGTTGCTCTCGCACTCATTGATATCGACCTCACACTTCTCCCCTGAGTGGACAGGAAAGGTTGTGTTCAATAACAAACCCAAGAGGAGAAGCTGCATCTCCCGTCTTATTCTTTATTAAGCTTGATTGTGGTCTTTTTTAATGCGGCCCATCTTTATACCTATGTTATGTGAGTCATACTAATAGGCAATAGGCTGTCTATTAGTATGATCATGGTACCAGCGCTCACCCAGGTATCCAGGTGGGCAGGCACAGGAAACGTTGAGTCCTGCACTCTCACAGTGGCCTCCATTCTGGCAGTGCATCTTCAGACATGGATCCTTATAGATTTCACAGTGTCTGCCTGCACACACACACGCACACACACAGAATGTGTCCTATGAAACCACAACATGCGCCAGTATATGTTGAGGTAAAGCTTATTTACAGATGTGTGCCTAAAAATAAATCTCACGCATACATACCTTCAAACTGTGGTGTGCAGACGCACTCATAGGCATTGATGAGATCCCTACAGGTGGCGTAGTTCTGGCAGGGGGCCGACAGACACTCATTGTACTCCTCTTCACAGTACAAGCCATGGTAGCCTTAATGGGACACACAAACATATTGTAATATAATTACTATTTCTATTCTTTACAGTGCTGTGAGCACCTTGAGCTGCCAAACAAACAAGCATGCTGATCCCCCCCCCCACCCCCCCCCCTTCAGGGATCAATCAATCAATCAAAGTAAGTAAGTATTTCTGATTCTGACATATATACAGTCATGTTAGTCATTAAAGAACAAGGAATGTAATTTTGCTGCATTGCTGATGCACCCGGATTATGTTCTAAGCTTTATTTATCTGGGAGAGGGTTTTGCTGAAAATGCGTGCTTTTTAGCTGTGATCAGCAGTTGGTATAAGTCATTCTGATGGTCAGCTGGACCCAAGATATTTACAGTTTGCTGTAGGGCAGTGCAGGATAGAGCTATAAAGACTGGTTTTATTCAGTTAGAAACACACTGGTTTGTCATGACAGAAATGCAACCTTCCATTTCTTAGTGAGTCAATTTAATACTACTACTGTTATTATCATGTATACTGACTTACAGCTTCAGCCTAATTCTCAAATCTGCATGTGTAGTGTTTAGTAGTGTTTGTTGCATGTCTGTAAAACAAACACAACTATGGACTTTAATCATCATGGAAATTAAGATAAGAACAGTGTGCCTTTGTGTATATGTATCTATTGGCAAACTTGATTAATACTGCAGCAGGCAGTATGCTTGATGAAGGTGGTGAGAACTGAACAGGAGTTTCTTGTATAAGCACTTCAGCTACCACCTGATCTGGATTTCCCCTCCAAACACCCTTGCTGGCTGTTCTGTTCAAAATAATCAAATACATATTTAATCAGCGCCTCCTTCAAGTAAAACCATAACATCAGTACAGTAAGAGCAGAAAGTATAGAAGAGTAAGAAGTTCCTTCCTCAATTATTGTTTTTGCTTATAGTTGCTGTAGATTCAGAGGTTTTAATTAGCAACCTTTGAGTCACACTTAAGCATTAATACCACCATCCAGTCTTTTTGTGTTACCTGTACTATACCTGATCTATTATTTCCTGTACACCTTGCACTCAAAGAGGAATTATTTGGTAGCCTGTACACACTATATAAACGCATGCTTTCATCATAGAGCTCCTTTTTCCACACCTAACAACATATCTTTGGATCTGCCTAAATATAAATACCACCAGTAAAAAGATTAAGAAATAAGAAACAATTATTAAATGCTCAATAAGTGTATGAATATATTGTAAGGCCAGCCACTTGCCATTGATTTTCAATGCGAATGGGCAGGAGGTCAAATGACATGCAGTGCACTGTGTTTTCCATGGGATGGCAGCTGTGTACTGAGGCAGAATAAGCCTGCAGCATCAGAAAACATCAGCGCATACAGACAATCAATGACTTCATTGATAAAAGAGAATAGGGTGCAGCTGGTTGCACACACTCCCAACTGAACCACTGCACCTCATAGAAATGTTCCACCATCTAAGACTGAGACCCAGAATCACCAGAGGACCAGCGTCTCTTGAGTCCTTACACAACTAGTGTAGCAATCTGTTCTCATTAGCTTCGCTCCCTCTTTGACTGACTGAATTTCTCAATTGGGTCCTGGTGCTGACAAAGTTTCAACAAAACCTCCCTGGGCCACAGCTAACGTGTGTTTGCGGAAGGGGAGAGGGGGGAATTAATGAGGAGCCCAGTTAGAGGCTCTAGGGTCCTCTCTGTGAAATGCCAGTGAAATGTCAAGTGCCTTTCCAAGACTCTGTCTGCTTTCTGTGGGCTGGCTGGTGGGCTGGCAGACTCTCATGTGAGCTGGATTACAGGAAACTGGAGGAGGGATCCTTCTACATATCAGCTCCCCAGCAGGTTTCTTTCAGACAGCCAGCAGGCATTTACACAATCCTGACACACATTCACACACTTATACAAGGCAGACAACCACTGTATTCAAGCACACACACACACACACACACATAAATGCAAACATTCATACACACACGTACACTCTCATACCTCAGACACCAGCTGGCATTCTGATGAGATGGAGAAAAGGTCAATTTTGGTCCAAAACAGTGTGTGTGTGTGTG